TGTGTTGTGTTTGTTCAGCTGTTAGTTTACTCACTAAAAATAGCAACGGAACATCCGCAAGAAGAATTAATTTTCATGTTAAAAATAGCACACCCTGTCCCTGTTGCCTTCTCATTTCTGTTGGTTTATTCGATTAAGTCCCCCTTTTTGCTCGCTTTCCTCTCCCTTCTGGCTGACTGCCCTCAAGACTTATCTGAAAGCTATTGAATGACTGACTGCCAGAAGCCACCAGATATTTATTAGAATAAAAAACTAAAATTTCTTAGTCCAGAAAAATGAATCGATCAAAAGATGGATGGCACGGTTGGCCAAATCTTGTGTTATCGACTTAAAAAAATGAAGGCTAGTACTGTTATTGTTACTACGTTGATTTTTGTACCTTAAGCTTGTATGTATGGATGTAAGCATACATGAACAAACTTTAAGCGCTATACAAGATACACTCTCGTCTTATGAAGCGCGACACTGAGTCGATCATTCGAAGTAAATGTATTGCGTACACAAAGTATAGATGTTCCCGCAGCCCGAATATATGCTTTCCCAAATTTGATGCTGCACCATTTCTACATATATTCTATGTAGGTGGTAATAACAGCATGAGTCCTTCAAATCTTAGGGTAAACGAAACATAATATTGAGTAAGTATATAAATTAAAAATAGTTTAAATGAATCATTGATCATTTTTTTGCAGAATGGATTTAAAACTATTTCCATATAGAAAAGTCATTTTAAGCACCAAATTTTTGAGTACCGTGAAGAGGATAATGAATCGATAGTTGCAAGATGAAAACAATTAACTGGTGAATAATTTAAATGAATACTGATCATTTTCTTAGAGTGAAAAGGTCATAATCTTTAAAGAAGAAAAAAATAATAAACAAATAACATGATCTAAAAGCTTTCAATTTACTCTCTGAATTTATTGCTTCTTCCCATACAATTTTTTGCTTATTGCTTCTTCCCAGTATGGGAAGAAGCAATAAATTCAAATAGTAAATTTTTAAGTTTTCAAAGACAGCAGATATTCGAGTCATATTGCTAGTATCAAACAATGAATCTAAATAATTTTTTTTACATAGAAATTCACTCGGCTATCAAATCTCAATCGTTTAGCCCAGCTAAGTAAAACCTAAACTACTGACAAACTGCTCTAAAATAACAGTAAAGAAAAATAACACCTTACTATAACTCCTATGAGGAGCAACCTTTGGATTCAAATCTCACATGAATTTCTATGATTTACAGTCAATACAAAAGACAAAACTGACTTCTCCAAGACAAATTTCTGGGTAGAGACGAGAACGAATTCTTTCGATATGTCATAGTAATTGGTGGTCACCTTTCTATATCACTAATTAGAATGCACCAAAAGAACGAACAAAAACTTCTAATTTGCATAAAAGCAAGTCCCATGAAAAATTCTGCAAAATTTTGTTCTACCTTACTTCGCGAATGCGTTATTCATATATAACTATTCTTTGATCCGGAGATGCTTTCAAGCAGGAAGAGATTGAAAGAGAAAGACTTTTCCTTAAAATAAGAAAATCCCAAAACTGTGATTGAAAAAATAGGAGAAAGAGGCGATAAAGGACACAGCATAATACAGAATGAAGCGAAGAGCAGTATATAGATAAATAGTACAGGGTAAAACAATCAGGGTGCGCTAGCTATTTGAACTAATTTTGGTAACAGAAACAGGCCCTCTTATGCATGCATAACTATATTTTAACTAAATGAGCCACACTTTCGAATTTCATTTATCGACTTTTTCATTTTCCAAAATATGCAGTACTGTAAAGCGGTCCACATCTGGCCCAACCACCAAAGATCGCTTTATTATACTGAAAAATTACATAGTCATTCAATCTGTATTATTTTTAGATTATAGAGAATCCCTCAAAAAAGATCCTCTTTCCTTTTTCCTTGCCAATTAAAAGAAATTCTTGGGTCGATAAAAATGTAACAGGACCAAAAAAAAACATGGAACCTGGAAAACATCTCGAGCTTCCAAATTAGTAAGATCAATAAGGAAAGATGAAAAGATCGATTCTAGAAATTCAAGCCATAGAATGTTACTGTAAATCAACAATAATAATGAATTTCAGGACTTTTTATACCTCACTGCACAGTTATTTTAACATGAAAACAATAAATGCAAAAGTTTTAAGAACAAAAGTGATACAGCAGTTCCAGAAAAAATGAAGCCTTAACTTTCTCCAGAACCTTCCAGTTACCAAAACTTGGAAAAATAGAAGCTTCAAATTATCTAAGAATATGGAACAAGGTTTAAGTAATGAAAATCTTAAATCACACTTCAGTTGGCAAGATACCAACCTGAAAATATCATACGTCTAAATAAACAAGAAAAATAGATCTAAACTAACACTGTAAGGCTCTGAGTCTTTGTTGAATTTAAATCACCTTTGGCGTTGTTTTTAATTCATCACAATGTCTGGTTATTGATATACAAACATGCTGCTATATAGCTGTTTTGGGGGTTGTGCAAGAACTATCTTCGAAAACGCTTCTATTGTTTTTCATGATATAAGTCAAATTTTGTGATTGTACTTTTACGAATAAGAGCATTAGAAAAATCAGAAACGACAGAATATGCAACAGACTTATTAAAATATCAAATAAGATTAGCACTTCAAAAAATAATGATAGCATAAAAGAGCTTATAGAAACAAAAGTTCTCTACTTCATACAACATCAGAATATTGGAAGATATAACTAACCGTGAGACTTGAGTGATATCTATTTCTAATTTTACAATCATATTCATAAAAAGTATGAACGTATTGCAGCCAATTTCCTCAAAGTTAAGTTTCTTTAAATCTGTTAAAATATTAGCTGTAGATAAAGGAAGGGGGATTAAACTAAATCTCTTACGGCCGAGATAATATAGCAGTTTGATCAACCAGACACAACCCCAACAACAACCTTTAACCTTCACAATATCCTATATAAAACAAAACACCCGAAAGTACCTCGATCAAATTAGGTTTTGAAAATTATTTGGAAGTTCCCGAGTTTAAAAGCGTTTTAAACTATACCACAAAATTAGAAATACAGAACCACACATTTTGAACGATCGCTAAATATTTAAAAGTAATTCACTTAATATGACTTGGCAATTTTACAAGAATATCATCCAAAGAGGTGGTCATCTTCCCAAAATTTCAAGTTCCTCCCGCACTAGAAAATTGCAAGATTATTTGCAGAATTTAACTTACTGGAGAATTCACTGAGTGATACGGTGATGTTCCTGTCTGGTATTTCAAAAAGAAATACAAAAGTAGAAAAATGTACATAAAAAATTACGTATATTTCTTTTAAAGCTATAATTACGTTTGCCAGTGAAAAAATTGTCCAAGCGTTAGTTTTTCTTTCAACTAACTTTGCAGCCACAAATAAGAGGCTTTGAAATTAAGGTTAAAATTGATGGTGAAGAGAAACAATTGAAAAATTAGTCTTCAAGCAAACGTTTTTGTAGCGACAAAGGTGAAACAATGTAGCGACGAAAATCAATCTCCTGTACGCTTCATTCCATGCAGTAACTTCAATTCTAGAATATTTCATCGTCAAATATAAGCAATAAAAGCAATTGGCCAGTGAATGTGAGCTAAAACCCTATCGATTAGATTTCAGTTGCATTATGTTTTGATGTTCTAGTAACCTTGTGTGCTATCCATGAAGGATAAGTCAGTGACTAGACAATTAGTTCAAATGAGATACTGAAGGCAAATAGTAGAAAGAAAGACCTTGCACTGTTATCAAAGCAAAATTCTTATGGTTACATAACAGCTTGCTTGACAAGTTGTCAACGAGATGACAAAGACAGAGAGAGAGAGAGCTTAACTGACCTTAATTGAACTGTTATGAATATGCAATAAACGGCGGTGCCTGATATGAACGGACTGTCGAAAAGCATATGAAGCAAGGATAGTTCAGAAATTGGATCAAATTACTCTACCAAATGAAGTATACATGTTAAACAACAATTCGATTAATATGTATAATTGGTAAAAACAAACCTTTCGCTGCTCGCGTTCCTCATCGCCGACTGCTGAGGAGTGTCCTACCATGCACCCCATCAGTCGCATCGCGTTGCGTCCTCAATGACGCGTCAATGTCGCAAATCCCGACAGTGTCGCCAAGGATGTAAATGCGGCGTTTCCTTCAAAGATTTTTGAAGCAATCACTCCTGCAGGGTGAATACTGATAATACACAAGATGAGAAGTGAAAGACAGGGAATGAAGGGATTCACAACGTCGCCTTTTGTGTGATTCTCAATCCGGACAAGAATTTCTTCCTGTTGGGAACTGGAACGAACGAATGGAAAAAAATATTTGAAGCAACACCAAAGGTAGGAACAAAAATGCCGGTAATGACGGGGGAGGGTAGAGGAGGGGAAGGAGGAGGGGGTGCAGGTATCCTACAGTACTGTCTACAGAAAGCGCAGCAGAAAGGGACGCTCGTGATATAGCAGCAGTTGCAGTAGCAGCAGCAGCAGCAGCAATAGTAGCAGCTGCTATCTTGGCAAGTAGAGAACGAGCTGCCGCAGGTGGTGCTAAAGAGAGAAAGAGAGAGAAGACCGAGGGATGAATGCATAGAGAGTGTCGGGAAGTGAATGAGAGAGGAAGGGTGGCAGTGATAGAAACTGGATGATGGAAAATTAACAAAGCTAGACAGGAAGCGTTCCCTCTACCCCTACCTCCTACTCTTGCAGTCTATGACAGATGTGAAATATGTTCCGTTCCTGTTCCTCCTCTCCCTTTTAACACTATTTTCTCATTTGCTTCCATCCCTCCCTTTCTTACAGAAGGTGTATTGCCGTTCCGGCTACCGCAGCATTGAGATGGCGGTGTTGATGGTGGTCGTAATCGCTGATGCTTTGAAAGAGATAGATAGATGTCGGGAGGAACAAGCTTGGCTAAGGAAAGGCACGATATAGGCCAAATAGTCTGATCAGAATACTGCTATGAGATCCACCTTCTGCTGGCGCTAATTTAAACACTTCCTCATATAGAGCTCTTTATTGAGCACTTCTCTTTTAAGATATGATATGCCAAATTTGCTTACCACGTTAAATATGTACTTCTCAACTCATACTCTTCGACTGATCTGTTTTCGAGAAGGAATCCGATTTCAACTAATCCTCAACATGTTCATAACACTCCCGAAACATTAACATTTCATATCGATAGCGCTAAAAAGGCAAGAAGCGAATCGGTTCATCTCTTTGTCTTTCACATGTTGTTCTACTTGTCTTCAAACTTGCAAAATTTTGGAACCGATTGTAATGAGTGGATAATAAGTAATTCCATTTAAAACATCCAATTCATAAACTGTAGTCTTTTTTGCCTGTGCCATACTATAATAACACATATATCAATCAGAAGCTGTCACCTCGTGCCGTATGCTTGAAATATCACAACACTTTTGCCTTCTTCATTTCTAATCCATCTAAGAAAGTCAACAAACTGCCTTCTTGGGAGGTTATCCATCTGGTTTAAATAGGATGTCATCGCGTCTTTGAAATACGATTTGGAATCAAAGAGTAAGCACATTAAGATCTGAGTTCGATAAGCTCAGATCCTAATGTCAGTGAGTACAAGCAGAACATACTAGAAATACTAGCTGCAATATATATTTTCAATGCATCAAATTGCCATCAGAAGGTCATTGAATTGCTGAGGAAGAGTATTGTGAATGGAGAGAGACAGAAAAATATGACGATTTTTCAAGTGGTCAAAAGACGGGTTTAGAATAAGGAGAAGTACACAACAATTTTAATGATATCAATTAAACAAGACAACCGAAAGTGTAACTGCAATAAGGAATGCAGTAAAAGGTATTACGAAGTGCAGTGTAGCACTGTGCAATGGTCAAGCATATACGGCAAAGGATGAAATGCAGTTAAGGGAAGCCTCTGAAAGAAATGAGTTTGAAAGGAGCGGCTTTCCGATATTTAGTGACCACACTTTGTACGGTAAGAGCGAGTGAAGTGAGACGAAAAGCAAATATATGATAGAATGAAGGATATATTAGAGCCTTCCTACAGATGCTAGAAAAAACGAAGTGTCCATACATGGTTATTCAGAACCTGCTTGATACAGTTTTAGTCAAATGTGTCATTAACAGTATTTCCTCTTATCCAGTTTTGTTTGCAGAATTTAATTTTGTTCGCAGAATGTCAGGTATGGCTATCATAACCAGTTACAAAAAATATTGCATAGCACTTTACCGAATTTATGAAACGAAAAACGGGAGGGGACAATGATTTTCGTTTAGACCCCACTGTAATGATGCGAAGCAAACCAGATAGACCCGGTTTGTACCAGATTTTTCCCGGCTCTCTGATCGTTAACTTATGTTTTGTTGGTTGTTACCTCTTCATTGTTCCCGGCTTCCTAGTTTTATTTACATTTATTTAGATTTTAACTATTAGAGCGATAATTTTAAACAGGAAAACAAGGTGAAATTCAGAGGTGATGAGTTGTAAACTGACTGTTAATAACAGTAATATAATGCCTGGGATCTAGCATGGCCTGCCTTTTTAGCCAGGTCGTAGTACCTTCAATAATATGTCAGTTGCAAGCTGTTAACTTCTTTCTTCGCTTTCCAAATGCTGATAACGAATTCATTGTTTAACGCTCGCTTTATGTAGAAAGCCATGTGATATTTGGGCTATTCGGCGAAATCCAATTTATTTTTATCTTGTGAAAAATTACCTATTTATCGGTTAAAGAATTATTCATTCATCATATATATGGACAACCAGAGGGAATCATTTCTTGGAATCAAAAGTTATAGCTTATTTTAACTGCGGTTTATAGTAGAGGACTTTTTCAATATTTTTTATCGTGAGATAATGAAAATAGATCTAAAATATCATTTTGATCGAAAAAATAAGAATAATTACTTGAGCATTCAGCGAGAGAAAAAAACCTCTTTACGTTGTTCAGCTGCTTCATCTATCTTCTGCTTTCTATTTTTCGACAGCGAGAAGTGAAGAACTTTTTCCTTTTTTTTTTCTTTAACTTTACGTATGAGTTTTTCCATATTTTTTCGCGATATGGTGTTAATGAAATTTATATTGCATGAGGTATGAGTCATTTAATTTTGTTTGCAGAATGTCAGGCAATGGATCCACACTGCAAGTAAGTTATCGTTATTTTGCTTCTAAGTATGGTGAAGGATTACTTCCGCAATTTTTAATCTTTAAATATTTATTATCTTAAGTTAGTAGCATTTTCTGTTTTTATATTGCAGAAAGCAATTGAACTGGTAACAAAGGCAACTGAGGAAGACAAGAAGAAAAATTATCCAGAAGCGTTACGATTATATAAACATGGGATCGATTATTTTCTTCATGCAATTAAATGTATGTTAGTATTCTAATTCAGAAGCAAATATTTGGAATACACGTCAATCTTAGCTTATTTCCTCTACCAAATTTTTTAATAAGCATATATATTTGACATTGATTTATGCTTTTGCTCATATTTTGAGCTATGTTTCAAATATTTCGCTTTCTACAACTTTAATGTATTGCATTTAGATGAAGCCCAAAGTGAGAAACAAAAGGACACAATTCGGCAGCGTTGTGCGTCTTACTTAGACCGAGCTGAAAAAGTGAAAGAATATCTAAAGGTAATATTAATCAAGTTTGCTTTGACAAAGTAGATTATTTATATAAAGATGAAGTAGATTAAATGTTTAAATTGATCGTTTATCCCTCTATTCGTCTTCTGTTACTCATTAATAAAAGAAAATTGGAAATGTGGAGATACAAGATAGTATTTTTTTAATGAGGAGATATAAAATGGCATTTAAAAAAAAAAAAAAACGCAATCTCATAAGTGTTTGCCAAACCGTCATTTGAATTTATTTGTTTGATATTCATAGCAACATCGAACTGATTGGTGAGAATCCTGTAATGATTTCACGACCTGATTTGAATGAAATGATTGCTTTATTTAGATTCTGTGTTCAGTAATGAGAAATTGTTTGAAAATGATTTTATGAACTTTTCAGCTAGTCATATAAAAAGTGTTTAGGTAAAATTTGTATGTTTCATAACTTTAAATATTGCAGAAAATATTTTCGCCAAGTTGTATCGTATTTTCGAAATAATGTATTTCCCGAAGAGTCACCGAATAGGTCTGGCATCAGTGTCGTCTCATTGATGCCAGAGCGATTCGGTGACTCTTTTTGATCATCAAAGTTTTATTTCGTACCTTTATCAATTGCAGAGTTTATGGTGGTTTGTTCCTTTTGAGTTTATATGTTGTGAAAGCATTTTTTTTTTAACTTATTTGAAACATCTGAAATCCGCATCGGATTTTATGGAGAGATTGGAATAAATCCAGGAAATTTCACATCTTTTTATAGTCTGGTGGTGATCGAAAGAAAGCGGTGAAAGACGATGCTTCTGGTGCGAAAGGTTCAGATTCAGATTCTGAAAAAGATACGGAAAACAAAAAATTGCAAGAAAGATTGTCAGGTGCCATTGTTATGGAGAAACCGAATGTAAGCTGGGATGATATTGCTGGTCTTGAGGGAGCTAAGGAGGCATTGAAAGAGGCAGTCATATTACCAATTAAATTCCCGCAATTGTTTACAGGTTTGTGCATTTTATGAAGCTAATAAAATTCTTTAGAACTTAAGGTTTACGAACTGGTTGGTGTTGATTAGCAGAAATAAAGATATAAAATAAGAGGAAATTGAAATATCGTGTGTAGGACGGATTGGTGTGTAGGAACCGTTTTTATATGTATCTCATTGATGCATGATTCTTACGATTTACTCTTAGTTTATATGTATTTATATGTATTTACTCTTAGTTTATATGTATTAAGTTCGTCAAGTTAATTAGAGTGATGTATACTGTATTTCTTATATTCGGAATCTTTTATATATTTTTGTCTGAAATGACTTTAAATTCGGATTTTTTCATAGATCGGTTTAGCAGAATCTATTTTTCTTATTTTAAAAGTTATTGCAAAACTCTAAAGAAGTAGTGTACTTTTAGAACCGATGTAACTGTAATGAACTAATTGAATAATTATTACCAATTTCATTTTATTACTTTATCATTTGTTTGTTTAAGAGACTTCAAGTAAATCCATTTGTTTGCCTATAAATTGCTATTTCTTCATTAGGATGAGTGCTGCTGGTGATTGCTGCTAATATTAGTTGATTTAAACATTCTTGAGATGGATAAGTAATATTTATCGGAACTACATATATTAGGACTGGATATAGTAGTATTGAACACAGTCACTGGCAAAATCATAGATGTTGTGTGAGCGAGTGAGCGTTGGGTGCTTTATGAGCTCGAGCTGTTAACGCCATATCTTCTTCTTTCATGAGAAATAGAGATGCCCCGTAAAGAGCCGGAGATACGAAGCACTGCATAAATGCTAGAAATAGCATTATAACAGGAACTGTTGAATCCGGTTTCCTCCAGTCTTTCACTATCGTTATCGCGTAGAATGGTAGCTGATAGAATGGACTAAAAAAATGTTCTCAATTTTAACTTGTTTAGTCAGTCTGAACTATTTAGTTTAACTCTTTTCATTTATTTTAGATAGTACTTTTTTCAACGATTAATTTTTAAAATGCCTTCAAAGGACAGTACATAAAATCGTATCGTAAAGAAGCTGCTTTAGGATAAGAGATTATTAAGGAATGAAAGAGATTTTGGAAGTAAGTTGAAAATCAGTTAATTGGCCGTTTACAAAATTTAATTCGAACAAAACATGCAAAAATTTGACAAACCTTAATAGGAACAAATAAACTAGAAAACGACTTTTATATAAGCCAATGCTTTGAAATACGATCGGACTATGGTAAAGTATGCCGAGCACTCGGATGTAAGCATAGGAAGCCAGTGATGCAGGTATAAATACTCCCAGAATCAAAAGATATGTCAAGAATTTAAGGCCGCTGTCGCTGAAATGGATCTTTTGGTTAAATTAGGTTGAGGCCATGCGCTAAATCTTTCAAAGTTTCTTTAGAATTTATAAACGCAGTAAAGTTCTTGCTTTTTAATGTTTTGGACGCTCATTTTCAAATCTTACTGAGTTAAGAAGGCAAATTGCTTTATTGTCTATTGATTGGAATAGTAGAAAAAAAATTAGCTAAACCTGTCTCCCCATATGCAGTGCCTGAATGAGGGATCGTAAATAATGATATGTCCATTGGTAATCGTTGGTAGTGCTAGACCAAATGCCAGCAGCCAGGAAAGGACGCATAACATATTGGGTGGTAAACCAAAGAGTTGTTCATAATGTATTCGTGCAAACGTCAACAAATGTACGCCGGCTATGCAGAGTGCCATGAAATGTATTACGGTCCATGCAGCACATGTCAGCAGAGCCTGAAATCACATTTCTTAACTTCAGAAATTGATTCAAAATGTTGTTCTTCCCTATTTATATTGCACATCTACAGAACATGGAATTTTTCAAAAATTTTAATACCGCATGAATATTTGGACTTTTTTCTTTTCTTTTCTCGAAGTATTTTACATTAAGAATCAAAGACTATTTTTTGGAATTAAAAAACCCTTTGTTTATTTCACTGAAAAAGTCTTCAGATGAATACTATTTCTGATTATGAGCATTTCACTTTATTAAAACAGTTGTTTTTGGCTTGAGTGCAGTTTTGTTTTTCTCCTAAAAAAACAATAACTTTTTTCTCATGAGAAGTAATTATTCGTAAACTAACAAGACTAAATCAAATATATGTTATTGAAGAATGGTATTCCGAAAAAACGAAAGTGCTATTCTTTCTCTAAATAGTCAAACATTAATATTCAGCTAATTAGAACTTCGCGGAAGCAAATAGTGACACAATCAAACAATTGACTAATAAATTACCTGTACTCGGCACATTACATTACTGTGGGACCAAATGTTGACTCCTGTCCATACATTATAAATGAACATTGGCAGTAGAAGGCATAGGGCTGCTGCATTTGTTATACATAAGTGGGCAATGAAATGGGATGAAATGAAATTACGATATAGTCTGTTGTATATAATGTATATCAGCAATGTACAGTTGGCTAGTAGGGCTAATAAACTAATGCATGCAAATGTAATAGCGAGTAAAGGTTCCGGTTCAGCAGCCATTTCAATTGCAGTAATTAGCACTTCAGAATGATTGGCTATTGTTCGTGAAAGCGTCGCCATAATCGTGCTACGATTCTGATACTGCTACTTGACACTTGGTTTTATACGAATTTTGAGGAATGTTACGTTTCTGATTTTTGGGAGAGCGGGCTCATCATTTCTTTGAGAATAATTTTCGATGATGATAGATGAGATGCATTCCTAAAAATTCCTATTTTGCTAAAAGAATTCGATATAACATTCTTCGTTTTTTTTATAGCATTCTTCGTTTTTTTTTTGATCACTTCAGCGACGCAAAATTCATGCATAGTAAGAGTTATGCAAAAGGGAACCTTCCTAATAAGGTAACCGCAACTTACGTCAACAAGATTCAAGTAACTTTTAGTTAGGAAATTTAGGCGTCCTTGAGCACTGTTCATTTGTTGCATGCAATTCAAATCGGAAGTTCATGAAATCCAAAATTGAAACCTATGAAATAGGAATATTCTAAGAAAGCAATAAAGCAGAATGTAGGCCATGTCCTCAAACAATATGTTTTCAGATAAAACTGAAATTCTTCACATGGATATAGCTTCGTGGATTACTTTCGCAACAATAGAAGTTTTCTACTTCAGACAGAAATAGGATAGTTTTTTACGGAATCCAACTTATAACATTTGCTCCAGACTTAGGCTCCAGCAGTATGGTGACTACGAGGCGGGAAGTAAGTATTTGTAAACTACAAAATGAAAGCAAACATTTGATATCAAAATAGCTTTACATGTTCATCTATACGATTAGTATGCAGGGTTTCATTGTTACATTGGTTATTTATTAGTTCATATAAAACACTAAGTGATAAAGTTAGGTAAGTTAATCTGTACTAGGAATTGATCAGAAATTTATTATAAGGTTACCAAAGTATATTATAGAGATGGATTTGCACTAGGACGCGTTTCTCCTTCGGAAACCGGACATCATTCCAGCTTTTGATTAAGAAAAAAAGCTGTTTTCACAAACTATTCATTTCCAGAGATTTTTACAGTCGATTTTGTGCTATACTTCTTGCTTGAACGATTAACTGAAAAGTGATAATTCAGATATGGGAAATGTGAACGAAAAGAATTAACAATTAGAAGATTTGCCACTTATCATTTTGGCAATATTGCAGGGAGTGTACTTCGACATAGCAAAATAGATGAGAGTGTATGGATGTGTGCGTATTTATATCGGTGCTATTCACCATTGGATAAGCCTGACAGGCTGTCGTTATTGCCTCCTCTGATATAATTTATACTAACACTGCTGCTCGCTAATCATGGAAGCGCACTAGCTAGACTCGGAGGGGAGAACTTTTGTGGATTATCGATTTTATACACTCACTAACTCTGTAGACTAGTTGCCTTGCACCGCGCCATGTGTTATTCCACACAACACTGCCTACATCGTACCTTTTAAAAAATTAAATTTTGTTGATGATTTACATTAACGTTTCGTCTCAACACTTAATATGATTTCCTTGGATTAGATATTCATTTTGTTCGGCAGAAACTTGACAGATAATTGGTGCGCAAACATTTATATATTTCTTTTCTCTTTCCTTTACGATTTTTTTGTTCTATTTTCTTTAGATCGTTACACAGTTTATTAACTGTATGGGGATTTCATTTTCTTTGCTTCTTTTCTCTTCGTTTTTTTTCTCTATTTCTTTTTGCTTTCTAGGTAATAGAAAACCATGGCGTGGGATTTTGCTCTTCGGCCCTCCAGGAACTGGCAAATCTTATATTGCGAAAGCGGTTGCTACAGAAGCGAACAATTCAACATTTTTCTCGGTGTCATCATCGGATCTAATGTCAAAATGGCTAGGCGAGTCGGAAAGGTTTGTTTTTTTGATATGTAGAGAAATTGAGCACAATGAACACAAATTACATTATTCCATATAAGTTTACGTGGGTTAAAGGGCACGGATTAACAATTCGTAGGTTTTGATCGACATAATGGCGAACTAAAATATGAAGAAGTTAAAGAAATCAGAAATAATTGTCTTTCGAATTCACTTCAGTGATTAAGTGACTAATGACTGAAAAATGGTGGAAATTGGAGGTATGGGGTGCTGCGTGACTTTTGACCAGTTGGAACTAGATTGCTAAACTTTTCTAAACTGAATAGTGGGTCAAGGCGATTAAAAGCTGTAAGAATGCAATCCGAACTGTTGCAAGGTAGGGTTCTTATACAAAAGGAATATCAGAAACAAATCCAGAAAATCTTATGGGTTTCCAGTATTCATCGATCTGTATGATTTTTCTAGACTGGTGAAGCAATTGTTCGAGATGGCTCGGGAACATAAACCATCGATAATATTTATCGATGAGATTGATTCGTTATGCTCTTCACGTTCCGATACGGAAAGTGAATCGGCCCGACGTATAAAAACCGAATTTCTAGTTCAAATGCAAGGAGTTGGCAATGACATGGAGGGTATCTTAGTACTTGGTGCTACTAATATCCCGTGGGTATTAGATGCTGCTATTCGACGACGATTCGAGGTTGTATTTTTGGATGAGTTTGTTATATTTCGTTTGTAAACTTTATATTTCATACATTTAAAGCTCATTCTTCATGGTTGCTGTGTATTATGCGCATTCAAAAATGTACTTTAAGCCAGTGAATTTAAAAATTTTTAATAAATAATTTAAAATCACTTCATGATTGAAATTTGAAGATGGTAGTGGTTTTTTTTTCATAAACATTCATGAGTTTCATTTCTAGTGGGACGTATATATATATATATAATGTTCTTCAAAGATTCATTAGATCACAATTTGCCGAGCCGTGCAACATTCTTTAGAGTGGAAATCTAGTAATTGACAGTTAACACTTTTATCTTTTCAGAAACGAATTTATATCCCACTACCAGAAACAAATGCTAGAAAAGATATGTTTAAATTACATATCGGGAAGAATACGCCACATTCATTAACAGAACAAGATTTTAAGGTTTTTTATGATCTTATTTAGGTTTGACACTTATAGGAAATAGAGTTTAGTTATGTGAAGATTATATTTTTTGAGCAAAAAATCAAGGAATAGAATAATGCAGTGAGTGAGATGAGATCATGATTTAATTAGTTTCTATTGAAAAAACTATTTGTCATCCCTGGTTCTTATGCTGAGCTTCAATTTTTTTTAATATTTTGTTGTTTGCAGACTCTTGCAGAAAAAACGGAAGGATTTTCTGGATACGATATTTCGATTGTTGTACGAGAGGCTCTAATGCAACCTATTCGTAAAGTACAAACAGCTACGCATTTCAAGCATGTTTCTGGACCATCACCCTCGAACTGTAATGTTATTGTACATGATTTGCTAACTCCCTGCTCTCCTGGTGATCCAGGTGCTATGACAATGTCCTTTATAGACGTACCCGCCGACAAATTAGCTGAACCAATTCTTTTAATGGTACATTTTTCTTTGTCTCAAATTTTCGCACTTTTAAGAAATACCGAAAGATGATGAGAGTAGAAATGAGTTAAATGATTATTTCGTTTATTAAGTTTATAAGATAAGGACGGAAACAGTTTTTTTGTACTCTGTTCTGCAGATTCTAGATAATTGTAACACTTAATTAAACAGTAAATTTCATTAAAATTTAGAGCGATATGCTGCGGTCATTAATGAACACGAAACCAACAGTAAATAAGGCAGATTTGGATAAACTGATGCAATTTACGAAAGATTTTGGTCAAGAAGGATAACGTTTCGAGGAAACAGACAAATTTGACATGCGTTAAGCGTATGTACAGAACCAGCTATTTTGAATCATTGATGTTCGATTATGTTTGCTTCGGAGCTTTTTGCAAATCTTTGAAATTTTTTGTTGTATATACGACATTTGAATAAGAAAAAATTGGGTTGTTTCAATTATTAGAAATTTATAGATTCTTAATTTTCGCCGAATTTCAACCTCCGAAGTCAGATCTTAAAAAATATAACTTTTCGTTCATATCTCTTTTACTAAAAACATATAGCTGGTAGCTGTAGCACAATATTAATGAAGACCGCGCTATTTTGGATCATGAAACATAACTTTCTTAAGAAAAGAGGTAAAACAAGAATTAAACCAGTTAGTATTGGAGAGAACGACTCTATTCTTCTATTGATAAATTATTTTGTTAACTGAGATTGGATAAAATCTTGACGGCAAGTTACAAAATTGAATAGTGGAACTTTTTTGATTTTTATTGATACGGCACTGTGATGATAACTCAAGAAATTTTGCAAAAAATTCAGATATAGGTTACCGAAATTTCGTAAAACAAGAAAAAAATAAGTTTTGTCGTAATAGTGATGATTATTTAACTATACAAATGCACATAAATTCTTCGCTCGATCATGAAGTTTGGAGCTTACTTGTTATAAATTTCAGGTTGGGAAAGGTTAAAAATTCATACACTGTTTTATTAGTAACTTAATTAAAATAGTACCAGAAGAAATGGGAGTTTTAGCCGCGCCGTTCAGTCTTGTTTTCTTTCTCCTATTTAATGTAGTTAATCATGATAGGGCCAATTAGTAGTGAATCGGAAAGAAAAATTTCTTTTAACCATCTTTTCCTAAAACTAATTTTCAATGAATATTTTATTTGATCATGTTTTGTATGTTGAATGTTATCTAACTGCAAAAAAAATTTTCACATGAATTTTGAGCATATATTTTTTGTTCATTGTTACAATTAAATTGATAATATATAAATATAATTTATCTACTTTTTGATTTTTTCTTAAAATCTGGGGTTTTCAAATTAGATAAAATTTTAACTAGAAGTTCTAGTTTTAATAGGATTAAAAGCTGCTGATAGTTGTGAACGAAAAAAATGAAAGTTTTGCAGCGATGCGATAGTTTTTCAACGTTGCAGCGAGGTCAAGCGTGTGTGCATAAAGTGACATCTCCTATTTCCAAAATTAATCTCTTTGTGTTTGCATTGATTTCACAAAAGACGTGGCGAAATTGGTAAGTGAATAAATAGTATATTCATTGAATGTGAAAATTTTCACATCAGGAACCTGTCACATTCTCTTGCTATCGTTTTTTCTTAAATGTTTTTTTACTGCATTGAGTTTTCGCAAACCTGATGAAAATGTAGAAGATTTAAAAATTTCTTTTGATTCTCTATTAAATGAGAAATATGAAAGTTTCGCAAGACCATATGAAAGATTTATATGTATAGATATAATTTTCGTATGAGGACATGCACATTGTATGTTTTGGTGATAAGTTGATGGCAATGATTTTGACAATACACTCATTTCGTTAAATGCTTTTAAAAGTTAGTTCCAGAGATCGTTTGAAAAGCTAGGATCTTTTGGACGTTTCATTAAATTTGTCTTTTAAAAGTCGAGAAGAATAAGCCAATCTTATGTTATATTCAGTAATTTCATTTTTAAATTGTTTTGTTTGATATACCACCATGTAAGTTGTTTTTACTCTACCATCGGGAAAATGACAGTATGGTTGAGTAGCATAAATTACCATTACTGTTTGTTAAGATTTAAAAGATAAACAAAGGCCAGATCGAGTGCAGTTGATTACAGCACTTCCTGTATCACATGAAAAAAGCATCATCATTTTGAATTTGAAATGCATCGAAATTTCAGCTTTGCAATAGCTGTAGAGAATTTCTCAATTGAAAACTCTATTTCATTGAATAAATGAAATGTGATAATTATGCACTCCATCAGTGTATGTCATTAAGTGATTAATTTATGAGTTTTATTATCAAGAACTGTGGAAGATTTCGAGTTATCACTGTCTCCTGATAGTTTCTATCAGAAATGTACACTTTCTAACTATGAATTATGCATAAATTTTCTCTTAATATGTTCCTACTTGCAAAACATTGACACGATTATGTCTTCCTTATCGCTTCATCCTCTCAGAGTGACTTGCTTTAAAATAAAAAAAGAATTGCAGCATGATAGGTGAACTTTTAACTGCGTTCTTGTTTCACAGATCCTCATTCCTCGAAAGTTTTGCTTATCTCTTCTGTTACTAATGGAATAATTGGAATTTCCGTTAAATTTGATGGCTTTCACCCTATGTCTAACTTCTAAGAAAATATCCTTTTCGACTTTTTTAGCAAGAGAAATTAGTAGTATTTGTAGATCATTCTCTCATTCTCTGAACCAATCATGAATATCAAAGGATATTTATTTGTTTCAAAATGATCGTTCCTTACCAGGTCATCGCGTGATATATACATTAGGTATTGTTATCAGTATAACGGCTGTAATTAGAAGATTCTGATGCATTATTATGGAAAATGTATTGAGTTTTTTGCTACATCAATTGATCAACAGAATTTGTTATTTCGTTCTTTCTTTGTTTAATAAATATTTATGTTCCCAAATGGTGCCAGTTCCATTCTATATACAGACGATGGAAGTGTCAGCTGGCAGTGCTTCAAACAAAATTCACCTCGAGCGGCGAATTTCTCTCTTTAATGGTTGTGCTATCATTATTGGTGTTATCGTTGGTTCTGGGATATTTGTCAGCCCTAAAGGTTTAACGATTTTTTTTTGTAAAAGTTAAACATTCTGAAATTAAAAAAAAAATTTTCTGAAGGAATACTAACGTTTGAGATTTTAAAATTTTTCTAGCGAATCTTTCTACTTTCAAGGTGTTCTGATTGAGTCGGGAAGCGTTGGTTTATCACTGCTGATATGGATTTTATCAGGAATGTTTGCTACTACAGGTGCTTTTATTTATGCTGAACTTGGAACAACTATTCCTAAAAGTGGTGGTGAATATGCCTATATTAATGAGGTAGGTGTGAAAATACATTCCTTGTTTATTTACAACCAATTATTTTTTAAACCAGTTTTTCACTTTTTTTCGAACGACGTACAAACTTTGATTTTGTTTTTATCTAATTGTTGCGATAATTAACATTCTTGAACATTAATGGAAGAGAATAACTGCTTTGTTGGGATGTAAAAAGCGTTGACGTTCAGAGTTGGACATTAACCTCATTAAATAGAAATTAAAATTTATAATTGAAAAGAAAACAGGATATTAGCAGGATTTCAAATTAAAATGAGATTAAAATTAGTGCAAAAAATTTCTGATTAATTGCTGTACTGTATCATTTTCGTCTCAATCAGTACAGTCGGAATTTTTTTCAGCCATTTTTTATTAGTAATTTGTAATGTCAAGTATGATGCATAAATATGAAAAGCATGGTTAAAATGTAATGTAAAATTTAAAATAGAGAGAGATCATAGATTATCATAAAGAAATCATATAGTGATTTCCGATCCTACTTTTTTCTCTCTTCTGTCATCCCAAACTGAGCTATGGTCTTATGTTTTCAGCTTTAACAATTCTTGGCAAACACATAATTTTATTTCAGTGTATCATTTGGAAAAAGAATAAATTATTAGGATGTCGATAATCGTAAAAGCGTTAAAAAAATACATTATTGTTTTTAATTTCTCTTAAAATAAATAACTTTGCGTTATAGGCGTTTGGATCTTTACCTTCATTTCTATTTCTTTGGGTGGCATTAATTATGATTAATCCGACATCAAATGCTATTATGGCACTAACGTTTGCTCAATACACGCTTCAACCATTTTTCAAAAATTGCGAACTGTCTGATGACGCTGTGAGATTATTAGCTGCTTGCATCATTTGTATGTTTTAGTTTTGAAAATTATATTGTCATATAACTATTTATTACACTGATGAATCCTTAGTTATTAGCATAAGAAAAACTTTGTTGTACTTTGGATTGCAGCATATGGTGGAATGAATAACCGTTCATTTTACGGCTGCCAAAATTCACTAATAGACTGAAAGTAAAACTTTAACCGATTATAATCGAAAGGCAAAATTTTTAAAAAGTATTTTGGGATAGTAAAAACTTTTTGATTTTGATGTTATTACAGGTTTATTGACATTTGTCAACTGTTATAGTGTAAAATGGTCAATGAGAATACAGAATATTTTTTCCTTAGCTAAAGTGGCTTCTCTGTGCGTCATTGTTGCGGCTGGTTTATTATGGTTGTGTTTGGGTATGAATATCTACATTACTCCACATTTATTATTTTAATTTAATCCGATTCTAGTTTAAATTAAAGATAGTTACTCACTTATTTTTGATTTGTATTTTGGTTTGACTTTCATATTATGTTAATTAACAAAAGAGGGTAATCTAAATCCATTATCAGTAGAAATTTAGAATAAATTAAAATAACAAGATCTAAACAATTGTCTGGTCTCCTTTCAGCCTTATCTAAATATCATCAGTGATAGGAGGAAATTATTTTAGGCAACACAGAGCATTTGGAACCATCCTTATTATTTGAAGGAACACAAACAAATCCAAGTCATATAGCATTAGCCTTTTATTCGGGTGTATTCTCATTTAGTGGATGGTAATAATTTTCATCTAAGAAATATTCTCTTCTCTTATATTTTATTTTTTATTTTTGAATTTTTAACACTGTTTTAGATTTCAGTTTTCTTTAATCGAAAAAAGTAAAATTTCCTGAAGTTTATTTTAATTTGTTTTAATTCATTTGAGCATTACTTTTGATCTGTCCTTTTTTGATCGATTTTTTTTTCTTTTTCAGGAATTCGTTGAATTTCGTGACCGAAGAGCTTGTTAATCCACATAAGTAAATTTCCATTTTCGAATTAATTCGCAGAAAGAGTTTACATATCAATACTTATGACAATCAGTAAAAATTATATTTTCATTAAAAGTAACAGAGGGAAGTAAGAAAGGTGCTGATGTCATCCACTACAATTTTTGTTGAAATATGTTTCAGGAATTTGCCCCGAGCAATCATGATTTCATTATTCACTGTAACAACAATATATATGTTGGTTAATATCTCATATTTTGCTGTGTTGTCTGTGCCGGAAATTCTCGACTCACAGGCAGTTGCAATGACTTTTGCAGAAGTAGCCATGGATCGATTTGCATCAATAATGCCTATATTTGTTGCCATTTCATGTGCTGGTAGTCTAAATAGTACCATTTTCTCAGCAAGTCGAATGTTCTTCGTTGGCGCTAGGTTATATGAATTCCAAATTTCAAACAATTTTTCAATTTCTGAAAAAATTTTGTACCATTCAAGGCCTATTTATTCTTCACCAGAATTGGTAATAAAGTGAATGTTTTATAGTTTAAATTCTTACGATATTTCTATAACTTAATTTATTGTTGGACGAGGCATCTTGCTTACTTTACTGAGAAATAATATATGTTTACATTTGAATTTAGTATGCTCACCTGAAAAAGGTGAAACTTAAAAGCAAGCATTAAAACTTGGGTGTTTACTTTAAAACCCTCAAAACCAACTACTTCCTATCATTAAAAAAATTCCTTCAGAGATGGGAAGCTGCCAGAATTACTTTCGATGATTTCCGTAAATTATTTGACACCACTACCATCACTTCTTATTCTTGGCATCTTGTCGCTCATGATGCTGATTACTTCAGACATTTATTTACTCATTAATTATCTGACATTTACTGAAGCATTCGTCATCGCACTCTCCGCTGCTAGTCTAATAAAATTGCGATTCACTCAACCTAACCTCCCTCGACCAATCAAGGTAGAAAATAAGTTTTTTCTTATTCTTTTTCTATTTTTAACTGAGCTTTAGAAAGCCTTGTAATTTTATTGCTTCATGCGCTTTGTTCAAAAATAATTCGAATTATGGCTTTTCTTGAAAGCAGAAAGCAATTCATTATATGTCACAATTGATCTTTGCTGAAATTACTTAAAAGGAGGTGAGAACTTTTCCGTTCATATGAGAGTAGCTTTCTTGGAGAATGCGATTCATTCGTAGGACTTCCTGATAACTTGTTTTTTTGTATTAGTTCCCCCTCAGGTATTAAAATTGAGCAGTACAGACAATCTTTGTGGAGCAGTTGGTACTTTAATTCATTAGTTGAAAATGATTCATCGTTAAATTTCAGCTAAACATTTTATTACCAGCTACATTCCTGATTGTATGCATTGCACTACTGATGTTGCCGTTTTTCACACAGCCAAACGAACTCATCATTGGTGTTTTAATCATTCTCACCGGTGTTCCATTTTATTTTGTTTTCTTGTTTTGGAAAAATAAACCAGCTTGTTTATATAATCCCTGGAGTAAGTCATTTTTCTTCCATACTGTAACATCTTGATACTTTATACTTTAGTATCTAAACTAAAACAAGCATGATTTTTTGCGAAAGATACAAGAAACATATTTTTGTTGCAGATCGGCAGTGTATAAAAATTCGAAAGTGCACATTTTTTTACGTTTTATTAAATTCTGATATCTTTCAGTTTCAATAACACATGCAATCCAGAAATTGCTTTACTGTGTTCCAGACGAGAGACACACTGACTAAAAAGATTTCCTTCTACATTTTGCTTTGTTTTGTTTTTATGTTGCTGCAACTAATATAAGGCAATAAATTCTAATTCGTAATTGATTATCTTTTTTTTGCATTTTTCAAGAAAGTTCAGTTTAACATTTAAAATTAGTCATCGCTAATGGATCCAAATTTCAACTGTAAAAAATACTTTAATTGATGAATTCTAATTGCAAAATATTTCTCACAGCGTAGACTGATTATTTAGTTTACTTCTAAAAGCGTAAATTTTTTTAACGTAAATTTGATGCCGATACAGGTACAGAATTGCAAAAACAATTACTAATGGTTGACATTTATATAACCGTTAGTATTTCGATATGGAAAGGATTTTTATTTTCAATTTAAATTGCTGTCCGAACTTAATTATATTTTAATTTGTGTTGGCCATGAGTACGAAGGGTTATTTGTCCCTTTTTCTATTACCGATACCTATTTATTGTCATCTGCATAGAATTTATTCAACATCTCATAATTGTAGAAGCAAGAAATAGCAACTTCTTTTGTTGCCTAGTATATATTAGGTATAATTATAGGACATTAATTCTTGGAATTTCGTCATTCACATTGTTGCTATCATCAATGCCGTCATTATAATTGTGATTAACGCGCCCATTGCACTAAATGCCAGCACAATCAGTGCTGTTAATCTGTTGCTCTGAAATTTTTTATAGTTAAGTTTAAAAATTTTTCTGAGATAGTTCGTAATCGATATTTCATTACAAAAATATGGAATGAAGATTTACTTACCTTATCATCGTGTTTTGTTTTTGTTATGATAATTTGTTCCCGCTGATACTGTCGTCCAGAATAGGAAACTGATGTACTTTGATATCTTTTCAGGGAATTTATTTTCTTAAAAATTTACTTCATTGCAAAATTTGTAATTATTGTTGCAATTAATTGCTGGGACAATTAAGTTTATTCAAAAAGATTTGTGCACAGCATAAATATCGCATGTGATTACTGTGAAAATTTCAGGCACAAAGGCGTGAATTCGTTTAATTCATTAGAATTTAAAATCTCTCTAAAAAATTCGACTGAAAATCGAATATATCATTTAACGTAATGTGCCAACACAATCGGATGGATATATATTTGATTGCAATCAAAATATCTTTTTCAGTATTAAGAATACTGAAGAAAAAAAGAAACGCCTACCTTTATGAGGAAAAGTAGAAGTGCTATCAAAATAAGGTAAGCTATGTAGAGAACAATAGCACCCCATCTGACTATCCAGAGATGGAAAAAAATGACACTTAAAATGATTGAAGCTTCTGAAAATTCGATGTTTAACGCGAAAGGAATTTCTTATACTTTTTTAGCTCTTCAGAAATTAGCTCATAATGCACAAGGAAATTCAAGTATTTTAAAGATAGATTTATTTGGGAACAATGACACAAATTTATGATCAGTCTAATTTTAGGCTCTATTAAAATGTCTTCCTTAATTCATACATAACTTATTTTTACTTCAATGTCTTTATTTTTGCACAGCAAATGAGAGAAGGAAAAAGAGATCGGTCAAAATTGAGCAAATTTATTTGCTAAAAAGGGAAATAGTAAATGCAATAGAACACTGATATTGACAATCCGTCATGAGTTATCATATGTTAAACGTAATATTTAACGTGCAGTAAGATTGCTAGTGGTAGAATTATTTTGTTGAATGATTGTTCACTTTTTACTTTTTTTCATTACTTCCTTCTGTATTTAAGAAGTATATTAATCGAATAGTACGAATTGAAATGTCAAACTTACGAGCCAGTAATAAAGATAAAAAACCAAATAAGCGATGGAACCAATTAAACACGACACGAGATCTCGATCCTTCATCACAACGTAGGAACGCGCCTACTGGTTGAATTAACAGTATACCAACGCTTACAGCACCAATCTTTAATAAACATTTAAAAGATTCCCCATTAAAATTCCCATAATTTTTATTTGAAATTAAAGAATAAAAGATTTCATTTCATTTTATACAGTGCTTCATGAATTTGATAATGTATCAAAACATACTTCCAATAAAGAAGCTTTCATTTATAGCATATTGAAATAGAATGTGATTTTTGACATCTCTCAAATTACTTCACTAGATCAAAAGGTTTTTTACTTTTATGATGAATATGTTAGGCGTAACATTGAAAATATTTTATAAGTTTGTTGCAACTCCTCCACTTTTTGAATTCTTAAATGGTGATCAATCAAGTAGGTCAATATATATGATCCGAACAAAAAAACAAATTAACTGATGGCAATTTGTTTCAAAAAAACCAACAATGGAATGAATTCCTCCAGCAGAAAGATTTCGTTTAAGGGTTTTATTGATTGTCGGTCCGGTCCATCGCCATTGTTTTCCAATAAATACTGACAAAATACCAATAATAATTATAACGATTGCTACATAATTCGTCGTACGATGTATCTGAAATTTAAGAACGAAAAAAGAACATTTATGAGATGCTAAGCTCATGGCTATTAGTGAATTTGACAATTCTGATTGATACATGAAAGAAAATTAAAACTTTCAGTGTCTGAAGCTTCTTCACAATCGAAAAATAAGAAGAAACAAATGTATTATTTTTATCACAACTAGAAATACAATTAAAAAAATTTTTTTTTCCGGAAGAATAAATTTTTTTTTGGGAATCCAATGATTCCAAAAATAAATAAAAACGAAGAGTTATCTATAATTGATAATGATCAGTATGATAATGAACTTACATGAAACCATATTTTTAAACCAAATGGTTTATTTTCAGGCCAATGTTCTCGAAGATATCGTGCTGCTGCAACTGCTGAAGGAATCAACCACATCCATCCTACAAGCATTAGAATCCCTGAAATGAAGTAAGAGTTTAACGTCCTGTAATCAAATTCTCAAAATCTTTGAAATATATTTATATGAAGGAAAAACTATTGCAGCATTCTTAAATCAAATAACATAATCTAAGATTAGTCAACAAATCATCTAAAAAACATAAATATATTTCTGAATTACTTAAATTGTTAAAAATTCTAGCAAAACTTACCATGTAAAATAATCAATTTACGATTCGATGGTAGCTTAACTAGTTCCTGTGGTACTTCCTTCCACGCAGCAACATTTATCGGTGTTGGAACAAAGAGTGGAAAATCCTTAGAATGTTCATCCAGCGAGTGAACATCCATCACTGAAATTTCTAATTAATCTAATAAGAAATGCATTGGCAATCAAAAAATGATTCCTCACTTCAATTTTGTCTTTGATATCAAATTTTTTTTTAAATGTATAATGAGTTCATTAAAAAATCCTGATGACAAGTGCATTAATGAAACTGTCTGCATACTAATCCATGCATGCTAATTATCTCAACATCTCTCTTTTTATCATACACTTTCATTTCTTAAGTTACAAATAATAATAGTATTTTGCCTGCTAAAAAAATTGAAAAAGAGAAATATTGTAAGAAAATTAATTTCCCACCTTCATATTTGCTAGTTTTTCCATACGCTAAAAGCAAATAATAAGTATGGTTCAGATCTGGTACATAAGCTTTTTGAGCTATTTCATCTGGAGCAATTTTTTGTCGAAATTTACAATAAATTGAACTTGATGTATGAGTGGCTTCTAATAATTCTACGTATTTTGCAACATTCTGAAGAACAAAATAAAATTTATCATAGTGAGGAAAATTTAAAAATTGCTTGCTGATTTCTAAATGCTCCTTTCTTTTATCCTTTTTAAATTTGACTTTCGTTTGAAAGAATGATGACAGCAGAATTGAAAAGAATTTCATTTGATCTATTTATCTTCCCTAGATTGTATTAACGATATATAGAAAATAAAGAGTTCAAAGTTAAGTTACTAATTAATGACTAATGATATGTAGAATATTAACACAAGGAAAAAAAAACCATATCAAAAAAGATTTGAAAAATTTTTTCATATCTGTATTTCGTATTCCATAACAATAGAAGAATGTATAAGAAGGCTTACTTACTTTTGTTGTTAAATTTAATGGTATATTATGTTTTCCATCATTTTGAGATAAAAATACACCTGCTTGATTCATTTCACCAAAGCCACAGTGTGTTACACCTTCATCGCCCTATAAAAAATTTAAAACAAACTAATTTAATAACTTTAATAAGCACGACAAGAATATGATAGGTTACTTCAAGAACTTTGAACTTGTACCATTATAATCTACTTTAGACGGTCACATCTTTCACTTTTAATCAATGTAAAATTGACCATTAGAGTATCTTCAGAGAAGCCGATGGCTACATAATTAGTATCCGGATATGTTGTATTGTAAAACAATTCCACTACTACCCAATCATCTGACTGTGTTGCATAACTAATAATTTTTTCACAATCTCCTCTCTCTTCACATTGTCTCGAAATAAATATACAGGCCTGAAAACGGGAATGAATGAAAAATGGAATATTTTATTGATTATGTCCGGAATTTTAAATGAAATGAGAAGTTTTATACTTTTATTGATTCAATAATGATAATAATATTTGAGATAATTATTAAAACAATAATCTTATATCTTTTTTTACCAAAACTTATCGGACAGATTTCTAGTCCTAGCCAAAATTTCGATCCATGTACTTTCTAATTTTTTTTTTTGAATCACAAGCAATACAAAAATCCGAAACATCACTTACTTTACTTTTTAAGCATTCATTCACATTAAATTTTGATGAACAAACGGTAAAAAATGCAACGAAAAGAACGAATATTGATGGTATTGTAGTATTCATGTCGTCTTACAATGTGAGTTATCTGTAAAAATAAATAGCATTGTCTAAGTGAACTTTCTTTCGAATGCAGTTTTTTTATTGTTAAATTCTCATGAATTATTGCACATTAGAAAGAAGTCAAAGGTCAATGATAAAGAAAAAAGGAAAGAAGATTGTTGCAAGCGACAATAAAAGATATAAACAACAATCGATATGACCACTGAAGTAATAACTCTCAACATATTATGTTATGTGATTCAAATAAAACATATAACGACAGTTAATAGTGCAACGATATCAATAGTGAAAATAAAGTACATTGATAAATAAATAAATTTTGATAAGCGAAGACATTGCTAGGAGAGAATTAACCTCAAAATTTATGTATCATCGATAGACACAATAGAGAATTAATAAAATTTATTATAAAAATTCAATTATAAATTTTTGAAATGTTTTGATAAAATGAAATATATCACAAATACTTCAACAAATGATAAATATAAAACAAGTGGAAGTTAGTAGTATCAAGAAGAAGAGCAATGAATACTTATTTTCGCTCCCCGCTTTTCTGCAATGTCAATCACCTCTTTTTACATATTGATCGTGACCATGAAATAGGGGACTGATTATACCCCTTGTATTATTTTATCAAACGAAACTTGTTTTTGCATATATATATATATATATATATATGCTTTCAGGCAGCATTATTATTTATTTTGGTAAATGTTGTTTAACGATCAACAAATTATTCGAGATTGATCAGTGATCAAGGTTGATCACCAATTAATCACAACAATAATAAATAACAGTCTCCTCATATACACACATGCATACATTTTTAAAAAAGAATACGAAAACTAATTTTAGTGATATCTGATTCACAAATCTTTTTAACTTTTTCATCATTATAATTTAATTTTTAAATACAACAGCTATTTGTAAGCAGTGATCATCCAAATTTCATTTATTGTGAAATTTATTTTTGGTATATTTTCCAAATCACAATCAATATTTCTGGAGTAAAAAAAATTTTTCAAATTCCACTGTATTTGAAAAAAAAGTTATTCTAAACAAAAATAGAATTTCTTGAATTATTTCAACAAAGTTATTATGGAAATCGACTAGCAAATGTACTAACAATATATTATTTTATCCTTCAAATTCTTCATTAAAATTAGCAACTAATATTCATTACGGAATACTGGCTTTACTAATCTAAGTCTAAGGCAGTTAGAATCAATTTTAAATTAATACATTTTTTAAATTAATAAATTTTTCATAAAATTGGAAAGTTCTCATTTTAATATTTTTTTCAACTTATGCCTCAACTTTTTTGAAATTTAAAAGCACACTGTAAGGCGTATGGCCATAAACATTAAATGGAACATTTAATCATAATGCCCCTTATAGAACTTCAAGTGAACAGATTGTTTTCATTTTTTTATCGTCTTTTAGCTTCTCTTATAATATTTTCTCACGTAAAATATCTCCACTATAACACTTCCCTAAAACATTTTAAACATAATTTAGAGAAACATATCCCTTAAATTTTAATAATTTCAACAATAGCAGTTTTAATCAGTTCTCAAAATCCAAATTTTTCTTAACCTAATACATAATGCTTCAGTACAGTAAAACAAAAAATTTTTTAATAGTTAATAAATCGATTTCCTTCATAACATTTCATAACTGCCAGTTCGATCTATCCAATAACATTAGCAAATAATAACAATGCGAGTTATCCATGGGAGAGACAGTATCACGCAAATAACGAACTTTATCAGCCTCAAGAGAAACTAAATCTCTATTTTCTCTTTTAAAAATCCTCAGACATTTATTATGCTCCCTTACTAATTTCAGTCATGCCATACATTGACAAAAAAGTGCTTCGATAATATTTATTTTATTTATGATTTATTAACCACAACTGAGAAATATCTTTAAAGATGATAAACAAATCTAACTGTATTTTACAAAGACATTTATTTACAAGCATAAGAGAAGCAAGCAGTAGCTATTACAGATGAAGGACATGAATAACTTCTACATTCAATAGCCCACAAAAAGTCTCTTATAGCAGGGAGGAAAACAAAACAGTTACTAAATGAGGTAAAACAGACGGGGAGCAAAGCTGAGGAAAAAGCATTATGCAATCTGCAAAAAGGCATATTTAAATATACGCAAATCAGAAATTTCTACATAAAATTTAAAAATACCCTAAAAAAGGGTAACTGATGCGATAAATCCATTGTCCATTACCTGCAAGTACTATAATTTTGATACAACAAAGATTAGTAGTATTACCTTTTTTACTTCAAACCGATTTCTTCGAAAAATGGTACTACATGAAATTCTATTAAAATTGATGACTTCACCAAATTAGACTGTAATTAAGTCAATTAAATCACGAAACCAAATGACTGAAAGGAGCCCGGTAAAACAAAACAGACTTCAATTTTTACCCACTAGAGATTAGCTTTTAAAACAATTTCGTTAACCTCGACAATGACTTGATCGGTGCCATAGCAGAAGGTTGATCCAAACGGATTTTCCGTTCCACTCCTACTAAGCACTACTGGCTGTACAGTTGTGTCACCGCAGAAGGCACCGAAAAAAGTTTCCCGCTGAAATTCCGAAAGGCATATACAAGCTGTTGAGATGTTTAGATAACTTCCAAACTTGAAAAATAAAAAATGAAACCTTTGATGAAGGAGTAATGGTCGGACCATCAGTAATAGTAATACAAAAGTTACAGCGTGCGTATCTGGAATTTATCACACGTTAATATGTTTGAAGCAACTAACATTATTATATTTCTATACTAATTTATCGGAGATAAACTCATTTTAATTATATCCTAATTGACATTAATAACTAAAAGACTTACATTCCAAAGTCAAAGTGGCCGGGCAAATTGGTATGCAAAACAAATTTCTGAACACGATTAGTGATACAATCGAATAGGATGTCCTAAAAAGCAGCCTTTAAAAAATAACTCTCTCTTCCACAAAAAATCTGAACAAACAGAAAGCAGAAAATCATTTAAATCAATGACTTACAGTGGTTAATTTAAGAATAAGTACTTTTTAGTCTAGAACATTGGCTTCGTTCAGGACTTTAATAAAGTATAAACAAAAATACAAATTCACAGCTAACCACTCCTAACGAGAAGTAATTGAAGAAGTAATTAGGACGCGGTCCTCGCAACTTTTCTGAATCTTCTCCTCGATGGATTAACATTCGATCTGCTTTCGTATAAAATACTTTAGATGGGGCACCCAATGATGATAAAACACTCTGAAAGACTGAGCAACTAAAAAAATTAGTCGTCAAAGAACTGAAAATTATTTCATCTGAACAATAAATTGAAATTTTTAGTAAAAGTGTTGTTTTAACCTCGGAAGTATCGCCAAAAAAAATGGATCGTTCGATTTTTCTCAAACCAAAAGCTTGTTTTCGACTGGAACTATCCGCCACTGGGGCTGCAAATAAATACTGATACAATATTTTAAATGTTAATAAAACTTGAAAGAAACATATAGGAACGAACAAATTCTTTACTTTCTGCAGCGAAGACGAAGAATAAGCCTGAAATCCTACTTCCATCGCTAATGGACTTCACTTCAATTGGACATATAACACCACATAGCGAAGCTTCCGAGATTTTTGGCGGTCTAAAAAGTGTTGAAGTGCCATTTTTCTCCGAAGAAAACAGGAAGTGAAATATCAGACCTTTAGATAGTAATATTCAAAAATAAAATCAATACTTTGGTGAGTTGTATGAATCTGGATAAATAGCCATTTTTGCAAGAAGTGGAGGAGAATTACTCCGAAACTGTAGTGATCCTAAGCCAGTAACATCAATAGACGAAGTCTGCAAAGTTCTTGAAGAGTGGTATAATTCTCCCTAGATAAGAACAAAGGTAAGATTCTTACAAAATTAAAACCCATCTAATATAATTCGAAAACATCGACATGAATTTTCTATTTTTACTTGCACTTTCGAAATTTCATTAAGAGTCGGAAAACTGAATGATAATCCTTTCCAGCTCAACTCATACAAACTTTGTTCAGCAACGTACACTGAAAATAAAACTTGTAAAATTCAGAATCTCGGAAAGCAACCATTAACAGTAATTTTTCGTTAAGCAAGAGCCTTGCTTCATTAAAAAGCTTGGGATTAATCAAAATCATCATAAAAATGAACTGAAAATAATTCATTCAAATTGAGATAATTGTATCCGCCAAAAAATTAAAATACGTAAAAATAAAGTAACCTCCAGGATGTGTGGCGCCAAAACAACCTTCCACTTTATTTACATCTGCTTCATCTTTAGGACTGGAGAACACCACACCACTAAATGAAAAAGGATCGATCATGTATTCATATAACGATTACTGCAGTTACTGAGTTAAATTGTAAAAAAGATAAACCATGCCCATGAATGATAAAGCATACCCATATTGTAAGATTATGTTTGACAAATCGTACACCTCAATCAGCTGAAAAACATGCATAAAAATGCAAAGAGAAATAAAACAAGTAAAGCGACAGATCAATCTTCAAAGTTAATAAATTGAAGCATTTGGCTGAAAAATCTTTCCTTACCCGAAGCAGTTGCGAATTAGGCTCAAAATAGAGTCGTACGCCATCTTTTGACAGTCGTATCATCACATCTCTTGACAACGGTTCCTGAATTGCAGTAGTACTCTTTCAACGAACATATATGAGCTCTTATATAGTTGTAAAGCTGACATTAACAACTTTTCTTCTCGAAGGATATCTTGAAATCGATAAGCATGAACTATGCACGAAATCAATTCTTGGCTCTACGATATAGTCTGTTGATGTTATGCAGCTTACTTAATATCAATGGCGGTTTTTCAGTTAAATGCTTTGATTTTGCGAACAAAACGAGTTGCTAACCTAATGCAAGTTCAAAAGTGAAATAGTGCAAGTGGCTCAAATAACAGTTGCCGCATACTCCCAATCAATGTTTCTTGTAAAATTATGATCAGTCGACTAATTGGGCCAAATACAATTTGCACTGATATCTGAATCAATAGTGAGATTCGTCCTCGTCACGTAGTACACTACACTATTGGTATCGTTATGTAAGTAAAGATATACCTTGGAAGAGTAAGTTAATTCAACATTCTGAATATGGCGTGATGCATTCTGTATGGCAGCGATAGCCTGGTTTATAGGCATGCCCAGGAGCAACTCGATGTAATCGTTCCGTATTCCACATCCTGGCATCACTTCTACTTGCAACATCCCTTTGTCCTGACTGAAGCTATCTCGAAGATTTACGCACAAGTTCCATCAGCTATACTTCCCCAACCTTTTAAATGCTTACAAATTCGCAGCCCGTTAAAATGGTGTCACCGAACCGAAAGACAAACAACGTGTGTTGCGGGTTTGGGGATGGTGAGGCATCTGAGGGGTTGCGCCTCTCATTTTCCACTGTGAAAAAGGTCGATTACTTTGGAATTAGCTGAAGAAGTGAATTTATCAAGCAACCTTTGTAGATTTCTGGGAATCTAAACCAAAGGTCAGCACAGGTGTTTTGGTTGGAACATCTTCCACAAGAATGGCAATGGCAGAGAACCGCAAGCTTTTTACTCAGGATAATTTCATTTGATTTGCTATCGCATGGAAACCGAGAGGTTAATTCTTGATGAACTGTATATTTTTGCTTGAATTTAAACAAAATTTTATGTTATTTTAGAAAGTGGTACATTTCACGAAGAACAGTAGCAAGTGAACTTGAAATGCACAAAAAAGAAAACATTAATAAGCAGCAATTATTAAGAAAATTTGAATCAATTTGTGTGGAATGTTGAACAATCCAACTGAAAATGAAAAAATGCGCATTACCATTAAGCGTTACCAACACATCTCATAAAATCTGCCAAAAAAGAAGAAAAAAAGATATTGAATTCAGAAAAACCAGTCATGCGTTTGAGCCTTTCAATGATTGTAATTGAGATACTACACTGCATTTCAGGGAGCCGAGGAGGAGAGGAATACGTGGTATGAAATGAGGTGAAATAGAACACATGATGATGAGAAAAGTACCAATCATCAACAAATCGTATGAAAGTTTGAGAATTTATTTAGAAGTGAAAATTTTTTCTTCAGTACAACAGGAGAGGATATGGATCATTTCTTTGCGTCTCTTATCGTGAACATTCATCGAGGTAAAATGTCATAAGAGTATTTCTCATTACCTTTGCCATTGCAAAATGTAAGGATAGCTTTCTCTCTGTCCATATTCACATAAATAAAGCCACCTTTCGATAAACCAATTTGTGAGAATGGATTAAATCCTGTTGGATAGCTACAATATGATTAACTTATTTGTGCAAAAATTTTCCAAATATTTTATTTAAAATTTTATTTAACGTAAAAATTTTTTTTATTATCTTATCATCAGCTTTAAATTAGCAAATCCTGAACTTTATCGATTAAGATAGCTTCAATAAAGTGTAAAAAATTGAGAATCAAAATGACCGATGACGAGTTAATTAATTACTTGAAAAGTAATGACCCTCTCGGTACTGTATCGATGTGCTTAAGTGAACGGTCTGATCGTGATGCAGCACCGCTAACAATATAGTGAAGCGGAATTTTTTCTGCACTATCTGAGGATAGCGATTGTTTCGTGATAATATGCTATAAGTTTATCATTTTGCGTTTTATTTTCGAATATATTAGTTTTTTTTCAAACCTGTTCGAATTTTTGTGTGAACTTTTTCCCTAGTAAAGATTAAGACTAAGTAGATAGTGTTTTAAAAGGGCAGAATTTTGCTCTCCGAAGAAACTACCTGTGAGATCTTGTAATCCAAATGAGGTTATACATTAATCGATTGGTTTTCAAGCTAGCATTATTTTCTTTACTTAAATCGATAGAATAAAAAGTATCTTAAAATCTTACTTGAAGGGTGTGATCATGCCCAGCAACATACGCTGTAGCGTGATATTTTTCCAAAAGTGGTTTCAATTTTTCAATCAAGCAATTCATTGAACCATGCTCAGATATGGAATAAACTGGATAATGTCCAACGACAAACAAATAATCAGCTCTACTTTTGAAAATTTTTGGGTTAAAAAAAACTTGTAAATATAAATTAGAAAATTGTAGAACTCAGTGAAAAAAGTTTTTGATTTTCGCTGGAATGCTCATTCAAGGCTTAATGAAATGTTTAGATCAAATTTTGCATGATTTAAAGAATAAAAATTCAAAGCAGAACCTGGAACTATTCAGTTGCTGTTCGATCCAATGCAGCTCTGCCTGTGCCGCTGCTGGATCTTTGGGAGCATTTGGATTTTTGTCAACAGTTGCAAAAATCATATCAAAAAAGCCAGCTTCTGTAACATCTCGTGTATTACCACAAAGCAAAATGGTATCAATCATCAGAAATTCAACCAGTGTAGCACTCTTCCCGAACATATAAGATACTTTATAATAGCTTGCCGGGTAAGTCCTGGAAATCAGATATTACAAATCGGTTCGAATCATAGTCCATCAATCATATCGAAATTTATACTACGTTTAAATAAATTATCATAGGATTATCGGAAAACTATCTTTTCCAGTTGGTCGTTAATTTTTTATGACTCGTACCATTTTTATTTTATTTCAAAGGCTAAAAAACACACCACCGTTGACTTCGATTTGTGTAAGCAATCTGTCCCGAAATATTACCAAAATGGTCATGATTGCCGGCTATTAAATACCACGGCTTATGTAACGCTTTGCCTTTGTAAACATTTTCGAATGTTTTCTAAAGGGTGAAATTTACATCAAAATAATGAAATCAAGAACCGAAATTTCAAGATGCCGTATTTCATTCTTCATTTATTCTTGAATTATATTCAGTTGGATCTAATACTAATACGGATTTTCTATAAATTTTTCAAACTTATCTGGAATCGTTGGTCGAATTCATTTTTCACTCCTGTGAAATAAATATTATCACCAGTCGAAACAGTAAATTGAATATTTTCTTCGTCGCCAATTCTTGCCATTGTCTTTGCAACTAAGTTTTGTGCATATGTGGTATATGGATAAATAGGCAAACCTAAAATGTTAATATTATGTTATTAAATGACTTAATCATAATCATTAATCAATAGGAAATTGTGTAAAGCAAATAAGATTACAGGCCTGTGAAAAATGTATTGTTGACAAGATAACTAAGGCAATTACTCTAATTTTTGCTGATTCGCTTTGGATCTGATTATGGTAGACCGAAATGAATTTATTTAAAGGATGAAGGAAAACACTGAAGAGGGGAAAAAGAACCTCAGTTTTATAGCCAGTTAATATTTATGATTAAACATAAGATAGTTACTTACCTCCAATGTCTCCAACAAAGAAAAATCGAAGATTATTGGAATCATTTTTGTAACATATACCGCCATTTATACAAGCCATTCGACACGCGTAATTTCCAAAATTACATTCTGAAATATCATTATCGTGTTATTAGGTCCGTTAAAAATTATTCTAATGGAAGTATCAGTTAATGTCCGGATTTCAATTAACAGCTAAGTTAGGCAAAAATAAAAATTAATTTTGTTCAATTGTTTCATAATACAATATTTCTTAATTTTTGTATTTCTTTAGAATAACCTTAGAATAACATTTCTGCAGTAAATTGATAGCATAGCCTTTCATTTTTCACTTTATTAATTTTATTTATCACGTGAAATTAACCATTTTCAGTAGTCGGTTCTGTTCCCAAACTGATCCATTGCTCATTTTCCTGCCGTGAAGTGGTAACTATCGGATGCGGGAGCTCTACAGGTGAGGTCGGCAGATCCTCCGCATCATTTAATATTGCTGCTAAAGACAAAAAGAGAGCAGGTGTTAGCATCAGTCTATGTAGAGAGTAATAACTGGAAGTATGGAGCCAAGTACTGAAATTGATTCATTATAAAGTGTTTTCCTTAGCCTAAATGAGCTCAGATAGAAATTCAATAAGAGAAATTTTTGCACAGTGAAATCGTTTACAATATCAAATGGAATAAATGACTTTTTGTGAAATGAATAACAGAGAAAGAAGAGGAAGGAGGGAAGAGGGAAACTGATAGAACAAACAGTTTAAAATCTGTAACAATACAAGGCTATCCGATCGAAAAGAAAAAAATAAACTTGTCAGTTTAGCTAAATACAAAAGATTTGCACATTATAACAAATAATGAAAAGATTACGCAATGCCGAAAGGTTTACAATATTATCATTTTTTTTCGACAAAGAACTCAAAGATAATAATGCATCAGTTCGTCCTTTTCAATGATATTCTGCAGAATGACAAGGCTAACAGGAACGATAGCTAATGATGACACATTTCAACTGAGTTGAGAATAGATTGTTTAATAATCGTTCAGGGATTTCTTAAATATATCGATCAGACATGATATCTTACACTTACATTGTCAAACTTATTGATAGCTAAGATCATCCGATTTTAATAGAATGATACAGCGTGTCAAAAAAGTACACATTACGTTCATTATCATATCTTAACTATTAGAAAAAGCAAATCAATTAGAATTGAATGAGAAAATGGAAATATTTATATATCTAAAATTTTTAAAATGCATGAAATAAATAAATGCGATAATTTAAATCGATAATTTAAATTGGTCGAACATTTTAGTTATCTCTTTTTCATTTATCAATTAGTCAGTCGGTCAATCAATTAATCAATCGACTAATCACCTTTAAAGAATTTACATAAAAAATAAATATTGTTCTGTTTCAATAAATCAGACATAAATATCATCACCAATTGCAATACATAATAACAACAAATAAATCAACATTTCTAAAGAAACAATCAGCTAAATACAAAAAAAGAAGAAAAAAACTATTGTTGAGGGTTATTCCAATCTTTTTCTCCAGGTCGTCCAACTCTGAACTATCGCCAGGGAACAGCTGACTTTCATTTCACATCACTTTTAGTTTAGTCCTACTTCCAAGTAACACTATCATAACTCTCATTATTATTTGTAATAGCATTAGTGGCAGCATTACCTATCAAATTGATTGGCTACTTAGATATCCCAGCTACATGTATCTCGATTTAGAAGCATTTCCTGGGACATTACTCCCTCTCTCTCGCTGGTCACTTACTAATAACTTAAGATGCAGTGATTAGTTTGATGGAAAAGTAATCACTCATTACTCAAATTTATCTCATCGAAAGAGGAAAAAGAAATAGTGAAGAGGTAAGAAGAAACTGGTTAGTTCATTCATTAGTTACCTGATATTTATTTAAGAGAGATCAAAAATCATTTCAGTCTCCATTTGAAATCGATGAAAACTTAAAACAAATGTAAAATTTTGCAGATCATTTTAAGAAATTTTCCTCTCAAACACTAACAATCAATAATGAATGATCAACAATATATAACGGAAACTATTGCTCATGATTATCAACAATCAGAAGCCTGTTACCAGATGGAAATTGTGAAGCCTGAATTGGATCTGAATTATTTGAAAACATTACCTGGAATGTTGAAGTGCATTTGCATTGTAAGTGTTATCTTGGAAATTTTTTGCTGTAGTATTCCTAAACAATTTATTTTCTCTCCTATAAAATACTGTACTTATTTTTTTTCTCTCTCAAAAATTTTCTATGCAAATAGGTTTGAGCTAGCGTGACATGAACAGTGACATATTTCCAAATTCTCCAATGAAAGGTCTTTCCTGATCAGTCATGCCATTCAGGCTATTTCCTTCATTTTTATCCATTAGATGCAATTACTGTATTCACATATCTTTCATTTCTTTTTGATTTTCTTTTAAATCAAGATTTCATTTAATTTTCTATGAAGGACTAATATTTCTCTCTGTGTTTTTGAAATTTCATTACTCTCACAATTAAGCAAGGCGGAACAT